TGGATCCCAGCCAGGCTTGTTCTCCCCATTTCTCAGATGGAAGAGCTTGAGGCTGGGGCCCCGAGACTGTCCCAAGGTCACGCTCACGGCTCAGGCTTGCGCCTGTCTCCTCCGCAGCCTCACTGCGCCAGGAGGATCCTAGTAGCCCAGGACACCACCCCAGGCTAACAGCTGCCCTGGAGGGGAGACTCCAGCTGCCCTCTTAACACCCCCCCCCCTCCCCAGGAAGTGGCTCTGGGGATAGCCTGCAGCGTTGCCCTGGGGGAATTAGCCCCCACACCAGCACTGCTGGGCGCCTTGTCTTTCTACCAGGCTGGAGTGGTGAGGGTGTGGGTAGAACCCCCTCGCAAGCAGCTGCACCACGTGGGTGGTGGACACAGGCCCCCCTGCCTCCATGTGGGGTACACTCTCCCATGCCCAGCTCCTCGGCCAGCTGCTGGGCTTAGCCTGCCCAGAGGCAACTTGTGGGAGTCCTGGGTCTTAAAGGTGTGTGTGCACTGTGCCAGGAAGTTAGGATGCACCCATGTTGCCTGTCCCTCCCCTAAGTGGCTGGCTGAGTAGGGGCCCTGTGGGTGGGTGCTCTGGACACCCTGGTGACCCCCGCCCTCTGCCCTCTGCCCCGCAGCGCTGTGCTTCGCAGTATCCCGCTCGCTGGTGCTGACCTGCCTGGTGCCGGCTGGCCTGCTGGGCCTACGTTACTACTACAGCCGCAAGGTTATCCTCGCCTACCTCGAGTGCGCACTGCACACAGACATGGCGGACATCGAGCAGTACTACATGAAGCCGCCCGGTGAGTTACCAAGCCTGGCCGGGCGGTTGGCCCCAGCGTGCTGGGGGACTAGGGCTTTGGCTGGATTTGGACAAGTAGATGTGGGCTCTTGGTGTGGGGACACCCCTGTCTCTGAGCCCCTGCTGTCCTCTCTCTTGGGAGCTCTGGTAGTCTGGGTCAGTCCTGAGTTGGGGGCCCCTTTCCTTGGTCCATTGCTGTGGGGGAGGGTCTGCAGAGATGATGTTTCTTCTGAGTCTGGGGTCCTGGAGCACCCTAGACTCAGGGGCAGGGGACAGAGGACTGCAGGCCTGAGTGCCTGGGCCTCAGTCAGTCTCCCTGCACTCTGGCCGGGTCTCTGGTGACTCCAGGCCTTTGTGACCTTCTGCAAGGCTGGGGCTGGGGCCTGGGTGGCCCCGCATCTGGCAGAGCCCTGAGGTTCCCTCATTGTGGGGGACGAAGAGGGAGGGCCCCAGGGCCAAGAGGAGACAGTGGCAGTAGCAGGGTCCCTAGGACCCTGAGGGTCAACCTTCTCTTCTGGTGAGTGAAGGCAGTGGGGACGGGGTGGCTTTGGCATGGCCAGTTCTGTGGCCCCTGGCACAGCCCATCCCTTGGAGCTGCCCCACCTCCACGGCCTTGAGCGCTACCCATTCCTCTTGACTCCTTCACAAACCCAAACAAGGCATCTTCTGGCCTTGGGGGAGCCCGGAGGAGGGGGGCGGAGCCGTGAGGCTGCCCAAAGCCAAGACGCTGCAGTGGGAGAGGGGCTGGCATGGGGAGCCTGTTCTTGCCTCCATGGATAGGGGGACGGGGGGCCTTGCTCACTCCTCTTGGCACATCTGGGGGTCACAGCAAGCTGCTGACCAGCCCCGCTGGACTTTGGGGTGTTGCTAGTGCCCCAAGATGGGAAACCTGAAGCCTGCAGACAAGCATGGAACACCCCAGGCCAGGTGAGCTGGGGGACTGGGTCTCCCAGGACTGTCCTGACCTCGGGTATAGGTGGCCTGGGTGGTGGGGGTGGGCCTGCTGGCAGAGCAGGGACCCAGCTCAGGGGTAGAGTAGTGGCTGGCAGAGAGCCTGGGGGCTTGGGGATCGGGGACCCCTGTGCCCTTGACTGTGCGGCTGCAGAGGGGTGCGCTGCAGGGGGCCTGCGTGGTGGCCGACGGCTCAGGCATGGGCTCAGACTTCCTGTCCTTCCTGCTGGCTCGGGGCTAGGCCTCAGGGTCTGGGGGTGAAGGAGACAGGAGAGATGCCCCTCACAGCTGATGTGTGTGTGTGTGGGGTGGTGGTGGTAGTGGTGGGGCTCTTCAGAAAAGTCCTTGCGGCCCGTAAGGGCACTGACCAGGGTGGAGGCCAGCCTGCAGGGGACCCTCTGCGCAGGCTTGAGGGCAGGCGTTGGGGGGTGTGGACCACAGTGCTACTGACCAGCGGGGCCAGCGGCCAGTCCCCAGGCCTCTAACCTGCATCACCAGAGGCGGCCAACTCTCCCTTTAGCTGTGTCCTCCCTGGCATCCTTGCCCCCTTTCACTTCTCCCTTCCTGGCCCTGCTGAGGCCGCCCTCTCTCCCCACCCTTGCCCTAGACTCCCTTGTGATTGGGCTCAGCAGTGGGTGGGAAGGCTGGCCTGACCACTGGGCTTACTGCCCAGGGGAGACTAGGGTCAGCGCTGGGGGATGGGGGATACTTCTCACGGGTCCTGTGATGCTCATTGGAGAGGATAGGATTGAGGAGTGTCCTCAGAGCTGTATGTCCACGGCTGGGCAGTCTGTTCTAGACAGTCTGTCCTGGGTGTGTGTCCTGGGCTGTCTGCCTCCAGCAGGACTGAGGCTGCCCCAGGCGGGGTGGGGTCTGGGAGTGGTGGAGGCTGCAGTGCTTGAGAGGAGGGCATCTGACCGCCCTGTCCCCTGCAGGCTCCTGCTTCTGGGTGGCCGTGCTGGACGGCAACGTGGTGGGCATCGTGGCAGCGCGTGGCCACGAGGAGGACAACACGGTGGAGCTGCAGCGCATGTCTGTGGACTCGCGGTTCCGAGGCAAGGGCATCGCCAAGGCGCTGGGCCGCAAGGTGCTGGAGTTCGCCCTGGTGCACAACTACTCGGCGGTGGTGCTGGGCACGACGGCCGTCAAGGTGGCCGCCCACAAGCTCTACGAGTCGCTGGGCTTCAGACACATGGGTGCAAGCGACCGCTACGTGCTGCCCGGCATGACCCACTCGCTGCCTGAGCGCCTCTTCTTCCAGGTCCGCTACCACCGCTACCGCCTGCAGCTGCGCGAGGAGTGACCGCCCGCCTGCTGCCCGCCTGCCCGCTGCGCCCGGCCACCCGCCCGCCCTCCCACGCCTGCCCACCGCCTGCCTGCAGCCCACCTGCCCGCCTGCTGCGGCCGGCTTCCAGATACTCACCTTAGCATTTTAGGTTGGGTTTCTCCTTTTTCTGTGTCCCATGGTTCTCTGGCCATTTCTTGGGGTGCAGGGGGTGCCTTGTTTGTGGCGCTTTGGAGCGGGTGAGTTTGTCTTCAGGGGCCCTCCCACCACCACTGTCACAGCCTTCTGGGCCATCCCCCCCAGGCCCCAGAGGGACCTGGAAGCCCACTGTGGCTGTCGTTCACCCTTCCTGGCCCCCACCGTCTGGGGCCACCTTGCTGCCTGGGCCTTGCCCATTGAACACAGAACCCCTGCTACTGTGTGGGTGGCTGGGCCACTGGGTGTGGGGCCGGGCCAAGGGGTTGAGCTGGCCTGGCCGCTTTGCTCCGAGCATGCTGAGGCTGTGGTCTGGCCACGGTGCGCCCGCATGCCCGCAGCCCCTGCCCGCTGCCTGTCCGGATCAGACCCCACCCCGAGACCCACCCGGCTGAGTGAGTGAGGGAGGGATCGAGCGCAGGAGGATGGGTCCTGCTGCCCCCGCCCTCATTGGCCCCTGGCTACACCCCGTCCATCACCCATGGTCCCTTTTGCTTTGCTGTCCTGCCCCCCTCCTTTCCTCTGCTCCAACCCCTCCCTTGCTGATTGGCAGCACGTTTGAGGTGTGGTTCCCATAGCAACCAAGCACAGCTTGGTCTGGCCCCTCTGCAGAGTGGGCCTGGGCAGGGGGCGGTGGGGGGGAGGGGCCCTCCTCCCACCGCCCCAGCTCTCGCGTGGCCCCCTCAACCGTCCCCAGGACTGCCCTGTTTCCAGATGGGCCGGTCTGTGCACCTGACGACCCCAGGCCACCCCAGGTCGCAGCTGCCGCCACCCAGCTGGCCCACAGCTTCCCCAGCCTGAACCCAACCCCGTTTTTAATAAGTTATTAGACAGAATAGCAACACTGCATGATTTTACTTCTTGGGACAAAACGGTAGCTTGTACCTAAGACAACACGCACTCCTCCGGGTGGCGGAGGGCGGTGCCCAGTTCTGGTGGGGTGGCCCGAAGGTTTCAAGGGAGTCCTCAGTGGGAGAGCAGCGTTTCTCCCAAGGGAGCACCTGCTGGTGAGCAGTTGGGGGTGCCCCATGCCCGCCTGGGCAGAAGCGTCCGGGGGTGCCCTAGGGCAGCACTTCAGGGATGAGGGGGAGTGGGGTCTCAGCCCTGTCCCACCTTGGGGCCTGGCTGTGTCCCCAGGTCCCAGGCAGGCCTGGCCTGGCTTGGGGGTGGGCTGGGAGGGGAGCGGTCGCCTGTGGTCGTGGTGGTGCTGCCGCTGTCACGTCCAGCTGTGAGCCTGGGCCGGCCACTCTGGCCACGGGGCAGGAGTGCCAGCCAGGCCCCCTTCCTCTGGGGGCTCGTGGAGGGGAGGGTGAAGGCGGCCGACCCCCGAGCTGAGCCCCAGCTCCCAGGCTCTTGGCGGGTGGGCGGGCCGTCGCCCTGGCAGGCGCTGCAGTGAATGGGTCTGTGGAGCCCGGCCAGCTCCCGGGCTTTGTTCTGGTGGCGCCCGCGTCCGTCCGCACCGTTTGCGGAACCCTGTACAGCCCCCGCTCCCTGTACATTCCCCGGCGGTGCCCGGCCCTGCGCGGGGCGGGGTTGTAGACTGTACAGAAATCGGCACCCTATTTTCTTGCAGCACTCAGATTTTGTTAATCTGGATATACAGACAGACGTAAAGTGTTTTAGCAAAACAGCAAACAGTCTGTGCCTTTCTTCCCTCTTCCGGTCTGGTCTGGTTGGGAATTGGGGCTGGTCTTAGCTGGCTTTGGCGTGCGGAGGGGGCCCGCTTGCTGGGCAGCCTGGCTAGGGCCCTGGGACTGGGGTGGGGTGGTCAGCGGCCTGTGGGACAGGTTCTGGTGGGGGGCAGCCTAGTTGATCCTGTGCCTTTGCAGCTTCGAGGGTCTGGGTGGGGACGGAGTAGGGGTGTGTGTGTGTCCCTGGAGCCCACTGAGCCGGGCAGAACCTGTCCTCCCCATGCACTTGGCTGCCTGTGCTGATGGTGTTCAAGGGCCCTGGTGGAGTCTGGCCATGCTGTCCTGGGGTGTCTGTCTGTCTGCCCACCAGCCATGGAGTCTGTGGGTGGGGGGGCTTGTCCTATCCCAGCTGCAGGGCCAGCGGGTTGTGGGGGATGCTTGCCTTCTTTGCTGCTCTTGTTGCTGCCCAGGATGTGGGGCTCGGAGCCGCTGACTGGCCATGGCTCTCTGCACTCCCTACTAAGCGGGCAGAGGGGTCCAGCGGGCTGGGTTCCCACCATGCCCTGTGGCCTCCCCTGGCCTGAGAGTGGGCGCTGTGCCAGGGTGCACTGAGCCGGGCCTTTGCTATGCCCATGCCCACACTACCTCTGTGATGTGTCCGTGTGCTGGAGCTACTTTCTCTGAGTGACTGGCCCTGGGCCTTGCTCTCCCGCCCTGCTGCCTCGTGGCCTTGGCACTTGGCAGAGGTCTTGTGCTTGGGGAGGGGGTGGGAGCTGTTAGAGGAACTGGGCAGACAGACCTGACCCCCCAGCTCTGGGAGGGCTGGCCCTGATCACACCCTGAGGCCATCTTGATGCCCCTGGGGGCTCTGTGTGTGGCTGCATGTGGCAGCTTGGGTATTTGTTCTCAAATGTGGCGGGCCCATTGGTCACTGGCCACCAGGAGGGCATCTCCCACTGACTTTTCACTCCCCGGCTCAGCCTTCCCCACCGTGGGCAGAGGCTACGGAGCCAGTCTGGCCTGGCAGCCAGAGCACGTCTCCCAATTGTGGGAACCGAGGGGTGGCCCTGTGGTGGGTGGGCCCGCTCTGGTCGGAGACCCTGTGGACAGGTGGCCTGGGCCCACAAGGCCTTGGGGAGCCTCTCCCGGGTCTCAGTGAGCAGCTTTCCCTAGAGGAGGGGGTGGGCCATCCAGGCCCTTGGGGGAGTTAGGGCAGAGGGTAACCCCTATTTAGGGTGAGGGCGCCCTTGAAGTCGGTTCTTTTGGGTACCTCGAAAGTGCTCAGGAAGGTCTCCGGGACCTGGGCCCTGGCACCGGGAGCCTTTGCCGTAGTGATCCTCCCCTTAGCCAGGGGCCACACGGGGCTTCCTGCGGCTCACTGGGGCCTTGGGGAGCGTCTCTGATGGTGTCCTTGTCTGGGACCTGGGGTGAGTGCTGGCTGGGTGGCAGAGGCTGGTGCCAGCTGACAGGTGTTCTGCAGAGGGGGGGTACCCTCCCAGGCAGGGCATCTTGGGGCCTGGGGTCCAGGAGCATGAACCCTAGCAAGGACCACTATTGGATATGGGTTTTTGTTTTGTTTTGTTTTAAACAGCAATAATTAGCCATTTTAAAGATGTGAGTGGGGTGTGTGTGTGTGTGTGTGTGTGGGGCGGGTGTTGGAGGGACCCTGGGGAAGCTGAGAAGGGAACATGGGGGAGAACCAGGCAGAGAAAGTGGGCTGGCTCAGGTCCTTTGCCTACTACCCCTACCCATGCCACCCCAGAGCCTGTGGGCGTTCCTCCTCCATGCCCCTCTGGTCTCATCCTGGCTGTCTGGGGTCCAGCGTAGGGCCGTGAACATGGCTCATGTTCCCTTGCTGGTCGGTGGGAGCCCACTAGCTGCACATAGCTTCGGAGTCGTGGGGCGGCCGTGGTTTGGGGAGTGGACCCTGGGGCTGGGAGTGTGGGGAGGCAGGGCTGGCCGGGCCCCTTGGGGATGTGGGGCTGCCACGGCCACGTGACTGCATCACTTTCCTGGAGCTGCTGCAATCTGTTGTGGAGATGTAGCCAGCTGGAGGGCAGGAGGGCCAGGCCTCTGGCCATGGCCAATGGGCGAGCCCACAGAGGGGAGGGTGAGAGCGTGGGGTAAGTGAACTGTGAGACCACAGCTTGGCGATTGTCCTGAGACCCCAGGATGTGCCAAAAAGCCCCTGGGGGGCGTGTGGGGGTGAAGGAGCTGAGTTCTGAGACGGCATGGGGCTGCCGCCTGCTGGTCCCGGGGTAGTCTTGGTCCTGGGCGCTGTGTGACCCATGCCTGCATGGCCCCAAGCTGCTGTTTGTCAATAAAAACCAGTTGACAGATCCCCGTCCAAGTGCTTCTTGAGGACCTCTGACCCCTTCCTAGTCCTCCCAGCCAGGCTGGACCCCTGCCCCTGCCCCCCAGCCAGGCTGGACCCCTGCCCCTGCCCCCCAGCCAGGCTGGATCGGTTTCCTCTACACTGTGGGCCAAGCTGCCCTGAGAGGGAGGGTGTCAGAGGGGCTCCTGGCTGAGCTTGAGGACAGTTGGTGGTGGAAGTGTCAGCCTGGAGTCCTGTGGCACCCTCCGCCCACAGGACCCCCTGGACCCTCACTCTCCACAGGGCTGCGATGTGCTCAGCCCGCCAGACTCTTTGCCTTGCCTCAGGGGTTCTGACTGGGGCTACCTGTGTCAGCCCCTCCCTGAGTCCCTTGGCCCTCCTGCCCAGCCTGTGCACTGGTGGCCTGGGGTGGGAAGAGAGGGCGGGGTGTGGGTGTGGTTGAGGAGGGCTTTTTTTCACTCAGCCCCAGGTCCCAGAAGCCTCGAGGGCTAGTAGTGCCTCCTGGACTGCGGGGTCAGCGGCTCCTTTAAGACAACCCTTCTCAGAGCCTGGTGTCTAAAGAGGACACATGAGGGCAGACCTGGTAGTGGGGACTGCGCCTGCCCAGGCCCTCACGGTTAGTTCTGAGCTTACAACACTGGTTTCCAGATGTTTCTGAGCGCCAGGGGGAGGTGTTTGCTGGGTGGCAGGTGGGAGGCCTCTGGGCAAGGCCGGATAGAACAACCTGAGGAGAGCTGGAATGGGGATGCTTTTCAGTGATGGGCGGCGAAACCTGCAGCTCCCCAGGAGGCTCTCAGACTGCATTCCCCCCACCCCCGCCTTCCCCGCTCCTCCCTCTCCCCCCAGCCATCAGCCCTCCCTGGCAGACCCCACTAACTGCCTCTGTCTGCCCGGTGAACCTACCCAGGTGCCCCATCCTGTCTCCTAACCTTCTACCTTCAGGGCTGTCCCTGCCTGGTGTCCTCTCAGGGGCACACACACTCACTGCTTCAGTGCACACACATGCTCACATGTACTAACATGCAGAGACACACCAATATTCACAGGGTGCACACGCACACAAACATGCTCACATGGGCAAACATGCACATAGATACCCCCACACTCACAGTGTACACACAATCACATGCTCACAAGTGCAAACACATGCACAGACATGTTCACAGTGCACACATGCACACATACAACCACGTGCTCACGTGGACACATACAACCACACTCGCAGTGTATACGCAATCACGTGCTCATATGTACTAACTATGCAGAGTCAGGCCTACACTTTTTCACAGTGCACATACAATCATGTGCTCACATGTACTAACATGCACAAATAGGTGCTCATGTGTACAAACATGCACACACAGACCAGCCCACACTTGCTCACACAGTGAACACCCATGCACAAACAGGTGCTCGCATGTAGGAACACAGGTAATACATTCCCATTTACTCCCATCACGTGTACCCATATGTATACAAAGACGTTCATGTGCGCACACATGCACAGATTCATTGATACAGTGCACACATGCACACCCGTGCTCACATGAACACATGTTCTTAAATGTGTACGTGCATGAACACGTGCACACTCGCAATGCACCCCCCCTGGGTACATAGCAACATGTGCACAGGGTGCAGAGGGGCCAACTGCAGTCCCAGTCCATTACTCACTCCTGGGGGCAGCCAACCCAGCTGTCCAGCCCCGGGCCCGGCACTGGTCATCAGGAAGCCACTGGGACAAGAGAGCCGGGGGAAGCGCTTACTCCGGGGCTCGGCCGTCCAGGGGCGGGGGAGGGCCTCCCGGGGCGCCAGCTGCAGTCTGTGACCTTGGACAGGCTGCTCTGCAGGTTCTGGGAGCTCGCCTCTCCCCTCCCGCTGTCGCTGCCGTTGCCTGGGTCTCCCGGTGACAGGGCTGCAGAGAATGCGGGGCGAGGCCCCTGGCAGCGCTGTTGCTTGGAGACTCTTGCAGGGGGGTCAGGCAGCCCCACGAGCGGCCGGTGCTCAGGCTCACCTTCAGGGGCACCTGTGGGCACAGCCAGAGTTGAGCCCAAGTCCGGGACCCACCTGCGTGTGGGGTCAGGACCCATGCCTATGGGCGGTGCCTGCAAAGACCCACACCAGAGACAAGCCCCGGAGCTGACCCGCGGGCAGGCACACGTCTACACACACATCACAGGCATGGACGACGCTCCAAGCCCAGGACCACCCACGCACGCGCAGACACGTGCGTGCACGCGCAGACATGTGGGCTCCTGCGAGTGGCTCTAGAACATTCTGGCAGAAACTCCTGAATTGTCCTTTCCATTTCCCTCAATCTTTTTGAAGCCCCATGTCCCCTCGAGGCACCTGCCCCCACCCCACACGCCTTGTCATGAGCGAACCTCTCCTGCCCAGGTCTGTGCCAGTAAGCAGGCCTGCAGGCCATGCCAGGCAAGGTGCCCTTGGTGGGCCAGGCACGTGGGTGCTCCTCCATTGCTGGGCGGAGCCAGAGGTAGGTGGGGAGAGTGCGGACACTGGCCACTCCCTGGAAGGGGCCCTGGATGGGGTGGGAGGTATTGGGGAGGGGAGGGGAGGCTGGAGGGTGTTGCCGGCGGGGGTGGGGCAGGCAGCAGTCCTGGGGGGCCACCTCACCTGCAGCTGCAGCCCCAGGGCAGGGACTTGATGCAGGGCCTCCATGGTATCTCTCAGAAGAGCTGCGTGGAAGGAGGCTGAGGTCAGGGTGGAAGCACCACAGCACTTGCCGCCCCCTCACCCCAGGACCCCTGCTCTGCTCTTGCCTGCCCCCTCCCCCTTCCACCCCAGTGTCCACTGTCTGGCCCAGCCAGGGACTATGTCAGCTCTGTCAGGCCTCCCTGTCCCCTGCCTGCCGCTGGAAGAGGGTGGGGTGAGGGTGCACAGGCCTTCTCCCTAGCTGTGAGGGTCACTTGGGGGCTCTGGGAAGGGGACTGCGTGGCAGGTAAGGTAGAGCACCCCCCTGGTTAGATGGCACTGCAGGGCAGAGAGGGTGACAGAAGCCCCCAGGCTGCCCATTCCCATCCAAGGAGGGAGTGGGGTTGGGGCAGTTCAGCCAGGTCATCTGCTGTGAGCCCAAGTGGTGGGGGGGAGGGGCAGGGGGGACTGGTTCACACAGGAGCAGAGGTTTTGGCCGGGGGTTGGGGGTTGGGGTGGGGTGGGGGTGCCTGCTGTTCCAGCCCTTCCCTTTCCTGGGCAGACAGCTGGTGAACACCGGAGGCTCTGGGGGCCCTGTCTCCCGAAGGGAGGGATGGCATCCCATCTCTGCTCCACGTGTGCTGCCCCTCACACTTCTCAGGGGCTCGGTGGCCACTGGGGCTCAGGGGGGCAGCCGTGACTTGTCCCAGCCTGTACAACCTCGCGTGCCCCCAGGCCCCCTCCCAGCCCTCGCTACCCACTCACCCCAGTCCCAGACAGTGGGGGATGGGCAGTGGGCTCTGGCCTCACCTGCAAACTCAGGGACCTGTGGATCTTCCACCTCAAACAGGAGCTCATCGTGGATTTGGGCAACTAACCTGGAAGACAGCCAGGAGGGAGGGGAGGGCCCCGAGAGCCAAGTCACGGTGGGCCGCAGTGGGGCCTGGGGCATCACGGCCCAGACCTGTGTGTGGGAGGCAGGAGGGCCCGGCCTGCTCAGCGGGAGATGGAGGAGGGTGAGGGAAGGTTAGGCTGGGAGGGAGGTGGCAAGGGCATCGTGGGCTGTGGTCAGGGGCTGAGGGGGCAAGGGAGGCTCCCCTTGGACTGTTGGGGAGGGGTTCCTGCTGAGCACTAGGAAGGCCCTGCCTTTGGGAAAATCAGGCACCCACAATGAAGGCCAGGAGGTGGATGTAAGTCAGACAAGTACTGGTTTATGTAACATACTGGGAAAGCACATTAACATTCAACTATGGGCAGGGTCCCTAACTCTCTGCCCCCCCCTCCCCCTTTTCCAGGGGACATGTTGGAAGGCCCTGCCAGCTCTGTGCTGACTTCTTTGAGTGTGCATCCACCCCATCCCCCACCCCCTGCATCACTCTGCTGACAGCCTTGGGCAGAGTCCCCTCTGCATCCCCCCAGGGGGTCTGTGCCCAGCTGAGCTCCATGAGGGACACCTGCCTCCTGTTCTGGGTTGGCCCTGGAAGTGGGGGGGGGAGACTGGGGTGGGCTCCCCGCTCCCTCTGGCTGGGCCGAGGTGGCTGGTGGCCATAAGGACAGGGCTGCTGGGTCCTGGGCCCCAGGCCTGGCCTCCCTGCATCACCCCTCAGCACCTCTTCCTGGTGCCCAGGGGCCCGGCAGAGCGGGTGATGCCCTCCACAGGGGGAGGTTCTCCCGGGGTGGCACCGGGATGGGCAACGCTCCGTGGTGAGGGTGGAGCCAGGTGGTCCAGAGCTGCTGATGCTGCTGGGCTTCAGCTGTGGCTCCCAGGTCCCTGCAGCCTGCCACAGCGGTGAAGGTGGTCCAGGCTGTACACTGGGTTGGAGGGCACCTGGCATAGTTGTTAGGAGCCCGGAGCAGAGGTTGGTGGGGGCCCCATGTCTCCTGAAGTGTCTCCTGGCTGTTGAGGGTGGGGACACATGCCATCCTTTGGTCACGCCTTTTGCCTGTCCTACAGCAGCAAAGTGGGAAGGGGGCAGCACTTGCTGCCCCAGTCCAGAGACCCCAGCATGCCCCTCAGTATCAGTGCTCAGACTCCCCTAGCATCCCTCAGTATGCGTAATCAGACTCCCTCGGCACCCCTCAGTATCAGTGCTCAGACTCCCTCAGCACCCCTCAGTATCAGTGCTCAGACCCCCAGCAACCCCTCAGTATGCGTACTCAGACTCTCTCAACACTCCCTCAGCACCCCGCCCCTATGCTCTTGGCGGGCAATGCCCACCCTGGGCCTGGTGGCTGGCACTGGGCGGCTGCTCTTCTCTGCATCAGGCCCTTTCTTGTTGATGGGGACGGAGGGTGGAGGTCAGGGCCTACGAGCCGGGCTGGTCCTGCCTTCTGCCTTCTTCTTCGTCCCGGAGGCAGGCACCTTGGGGCCATCGCTGCCCTTCCTTTCTTGTACCTGCAAGGCCCAGGGCGGCCCGAGCAGAGTGGCAGCTCCCTCACGGCTCCTCCGGGGCAAGGCCCACAGGGACCTCAGTCCTGTTATTTCTCCTCAGGGGATGGTGGTCGCATGCGGCCTGGCCACTGCCCTCCCACCTGCCCCAGAGGCCTGCCATTCTTAGAGTTCCGGCTTCCAGAGGGGCTCTGGCTCTCGAGGGGCTGAGTTTTCAGATGGGCAGGGTCCTCGGCATAGACACTTGTAACTTCCTCCCCATTTAGAAGGAGCCGTTTTCACACCTCATGAAACTCCGTTGTGAATTCCGAGCTGCTGTTGTGGCAGCGATCTAAGAATAGTGGAAACTGTTAGTCACCCACAGCTCACAGCCCCAGTGGGGGCATAGCCACCTCGGATGCAGAAGTGGGCCGCAGGACACGAGAGGGATGGGCAGTGCCCCCATCTGGGATGGTGAGGGGCCACTCCTGTCCTGGTGCCAGAGAAGGAGGCCCACGTGTCCTCAGGATGGCCTGGCTGAGGCAGCACCGGGCCTTGCTCCTGTGGGAGAACATTCTAGAAGGACCTCCCTTCATCTGTTGTCTGTGACTGCCTGGTGCCCCCAACCCAGTCCTGGGGCTCCCTGGGAAGCGTCACGTCCAGCACTGAAGGCCGATGGCCCATGCAGGCCTGCTCTAAAGTCCAGTCGTGGCTGCCACGACGCGTTGTCCAAGCCCAGCTTTTAGGACTGGCCACAGCAGCCCAGGTCTCCCCGAGGGGCCCCCCTGGCCCTGGTGAGTGCCATTGGTGTTCCCTCGTGTGTCACCAGAGCCCCACACGGCTACTGATGACCCTACTTGCAGAGTGACACCTGTACCTCCCCTTCTCCCCACAGAAGCCACACCATCAAAGAATGGGAGGTGCCTGCCTTCACAAACAGCCGCCTAGACCACCCTCGTTAACCTCTGGTCAGGTCACTGACTGCCCCCAGATGGGGCCCCTGTGAAGCCTGGGGAAGCCCCCTCCACTGCCCAGGGCCATTATGTGACTTTCTGTCCAGGGGTCAGCGAACACCACCCCATGAGGCCAGATGTGTGCTCCACCCAGGAGGGCTCCCGCCAGGATTTCCGTGTGTCCAGCAGTACCAGGGGGGCCTCTGCCTGGGGGTGGGCCATGCGGGCCTTCTCACATCAGTGTGGGGCCCCAGTGCAGAGAGTGGCTGGAAGGGACAGACCTCTGCATCCAGCTTGCCTTACGCTAGTGGCTTCTGGGGGCCCGTCTACGCCCACAAGGGTGTGTGGGGGTAAGCAGGGCCTTGCCCACTGAGGTGGGGGCACACTGGGCTCCCCTGCCCTAATCAAGAGGAGATGCTCCCATACCCTTCACTGGAACACTGGCTGAATGGAGGGCCGGAGGGTCCCTAGCGTGGGGTGGGGACATCTGCATAGGGTTCGAGGAGGCTCCTGGGAGATGGGTGACAGCTCCTTGTGGGCCCAAAGGGCCTGAGGGCTCCTGAGGCGGGAGGAGTCTGCACAGGGCTCATGTGAGTGCGTGTGTGTGCGCACGCATGTGCTCGTGCATGTATGGCAGTCTGGGGCTTAGACCCAGTGTGAGGCAGAGAGCTAGCTGAGAGCCCTGGCCCCAGAGGGGTTGGTGTGGCACTCCAGCCCACAGCCATGGTGGGAACCCATCAGGATGGGAGCAACCGACGGTACCCAAAGCACATGCTGGATTTGGAGGTAGGAGCAGGGGGCAGGGGAGTTCGCTGCTGTGGGCCCTAAGGAAAGTGGGGGGAGGCAGGGCATAGCATTGCAGCACCAGTTGAAGGGACACACACAGTGATGGGGATTGACTGTCCCAAGCCCATGAAGTGACCCCCATGCCAGGGCATGCCTGCCTTACGCAAGCCACACCCTGGGCCTCGCTTCCCCAGCCTGAGAGACGGAAGCAAAGGGAGTGCAGGACTTGGTAGGTCAGGCTGATGGGGGTACTCTTGTTGGGACCCTCTGATGGCTGTTGGGCATTAAAAATAGAGATTCTACAGGGTAACAGCTGGCAGTGTCCCCAAGAGAGCCAGAGTCCCTCCCACTCCCTGGACCAGTCAGGTGAGCGGCGAGGTCAGGGCTGTGGGCAGGCTGCTGGCGCGGTGGACTGACCTGGCTGTCAGGGTGGGTGAAGAGGCCACTGCGGCGAAGATGTGGACCATGGCCAGCTTGCAGAGGTCGGCAGCTGACCCTGCGGGACACAGAAGCCTTGTTCCCGCCCTGCCCCACAGCTGCCCTGCCCAGAGGAGGCCGCTGGACTCCATGTTGCGGGCAGAGCTGTACAGGGCCGTGTGCCACGTGACTGGGGACAGCTCACGTGCATCATCTCTGTGCCCCGCCCTCCCGGCTGAGCTCAGGGAGGCTGCCTGCACCCTATCCTCATTGGGCAGGTGACTGGGAAGACATGCACCCAGGTGTTCTTGAGTCCCTGCAGCAGAGGGACTGAGGTCCCTGGCTAACTTGGTTGCACCTGTGGGGACCTCACAGCCCCCGAGGTCGCTCTTAGGTCCCTGCCACAGCATCTCCCAAGGTGCCGTCTGCTCTCTCTGCTGCTGCCGGGACGCCAAGCTAGAAAGCATCTTTTGATGGGCTGACCTGATCAGGCCAGGCCCTCCCAGAATCAAGGAGCCCCGCGGCTTGGCCTCCTGTTGTGAGGTGCTGCCGAGTCAGCTCCGACCCACAGCGACCCCCGTGCACAAGAGAACGAAACACTGCCTGGGCCCGCACCGTCCTCACGATGGTGTTTATGTTTGCGCCCCTCCGGGAGCCACTGTGTCCGTCCACTGACAAACTGGCAGGGAAGTGGTGGCTTAGTCTCAGGGCGACCCTATAGGGCAGGGTAGAACTGCCCCTGTGGATTCCTGAGACTCTAAGTCTTTATGGGAGTAGAAAGCCTCATCTTTCTCATGTGGAGCAGTTGGCGGTTTTTAACTGCTGGCCTGTGGTTTGCAGCCCAATGTGTAACCTGCTCTATATGACCAGGGCTCCTAGGAGCCAGAATTGACTTGATGGCAGTGAGTTTGGCTCTTGGTTTGGTGGTGTAGTGGGCGATGAGTCATGCTGCAAGGTCACCAGTTTGAAACCACTCCAAGGGAAAAAGATGATGCTTTCTACACCGCTAAAGACGTACAGTCTCAGAAACCTACAAGGGCAGCTCTACCCTGTCTTACTGGGTCCCTGTGAGTTGGAATTGACTCGATGTTGGAGTTTTTGGTGGCCCTGTGGGTTAGGCCTTGGGCTGCTAACCACAAGGTTGGCAGTTCAAACCCACCTGCTGCTCTGTGGGAGAAAGATGAGCCTGCCTGCTCTTGTAGACATTGACAGTCCTGGAAACCCTAGCTAGGGCCAGAGTAGGTGGTTTGGCAAATTGGCTGCAGCCATGCGCTCATGCACAGGAAGCCCGTGAGGCTGATGCAGGACCGGCGCCATTTCCTGCTCTGATCCTAGCAACAGCATGACCTGGGCTGGACCTGTCCAGGTTCAGCCCTGTAGGTGCTGAAAGCCAGGTAAGACAGTGGATGCAGGGAAGCCATCAGCCGCATCTCCAGACCTGTCATCGGGGCTCACGGTACCTTGCACCACGAAGTTCACAGCCTGCCGCTCTGCCTGGGCCCGGAGTTCCTGGTTCTGGGCCTGGATCCTGGGCAGGGGTCTCCTTCGGCCCATGATGGATGCCACATACCCTTCGGTTACATGAAGGAAAAGCAGGATGAGTGACAGCAGTGGACAGGGGGACAGCAGCCCTTGGTGGTCCTGGCTTCCCTGGGGGATGCCCGGGGACCTCGTGGGAACTCCTTCGGGGGGCTGACCCCGAGCGTGCTGTCCAAGGCTCTCCCAGGAAGCAGGCCTTGAGACTGGAAGGCCTTTGTTTGCCTGGTGGCGGGGCGCCTGCATTTCCCTCTGACATCTGGCTGAGCTGACAGCTGTATGTCAGTGGTGGCCTGGTTTACATGATTACCTCCCGTCAGCCCAACACGGTTCTCTCGATTTCGATTCTTCTTGATGCCATGTGACTGAGCAGAACTGCCCACTGGGCCCTCTGGGCTGGCAGTTTATGGGGCAGGTAGACAGGGGTTGCTTCCATGACAACACCAAGTGGGTTCTTAATGCCCAGTTTGAGGAAAACAACAAAAGCCCCAAACCTCAAACAAACGCAAACCCACTGCCATTGAGTTGCTTCTCACGCAGGACTGCCCCTTTGCTGGGAGTAGCCAGTCTCGTCTTTCTCCGGTGGAGCAACTGGTGGATCCCAACCGCTGACCCTGTCGTTAGCCGCCCCACACCTAAGCTCCTAGGTCCCCAGGCGTTCCTCAGGTCCGTAGTTGAACTCGAGCCATCTACGCCCTGGCCTGGACCTCTGAACACTACAGACATTGCTAGAAGGCCTATGTGGAACTTGGAGAACAGACGGTGCACCGTGTGGCTGCTGTGCAGGCAGAGAAAGGCATCCACACATTCCCACTGGAGGAGGGGTGGTGCGTGGCCTGAGCTGGATTCCACATCCTTACACATGCAGGCTCATCCCAGCTTTGTGGGGGCTGACGTTTATACAGCTTTGTGGGGCCTCTTTCAAAAAATGAACACAGATGAGCTGCTCTGGTTGAACCGATTCTGTAATGACTGCTGTTCTGGTTGGGTGCCATGGGGTCGGCTCTGACCCCTCGTGACCCTGCGCATGACAGAACACAGCACGGCACAGTCCTGCACTGTCCTTACAGTCGTTCCCCTGCCCGAGCCCATGGGTGCAGCCATGGTGTCCGTCCACCTCCTTGAGGGCCTTCCTCTTTTTCATTTTTGCCACCCCTCCACTTTACCAAGCCTGATGGCCTTTTCCAAGTACTGGTCTCTCTTGACAATATGTCCAAAGTATGTAAAGACTAAGTCTCGCCATCCTTGTCATGATCCGCATAGTCAGATGCCTTGACAGAGTCAATACAACACAAATGCACATCTTTCTGCTAGTCTCTGATTTCAACCAATATCCATCTGACATCATCCACATCCTTTTCTGAATCCGGCAGCTTCCGGTCAATGGACTGCTACAACCCTTGTTGAATGATCTTCAGCAAGATTTTACTTGCATGTGTGATATCAATGATATTATTCCATAATTTGTGCATTATCCTACTTGACGCATTTCATTTCCGCATCCTTGCGTGTCCAGTGATTTTGGGTTGGACGCTGAATCTTATCCATTTTATGTTAGTGGGGGCTGGCTTTTGTTTTCTTCAAGATGACCTGGGAAGGCACTCAAGTGACATGCAAGCCAGCCTGACTCTGGAGGTCTGTTTTTAGAGAAGTCTCTACTCTCGGGTTGTTGCCGTGGTTGCTAGCTGCCCTTGACTTGGCTCCAAATCCCAGAGGCCCCGAGAGTAGCAGGGCAAAACACTGCCCCGTCCGGCGCCCTCCTCACAGCTGTGAGGGCTCCTTGTTGCTGCCGTGCCAACCCATTTCGTCGCAGGCCTGCCTTCTCATGTGGGCCCTCTAGGTCTCAAGCAGGGTGTCCTCTCCCAGGCACTGAGAAGAGGCCCACCTCTGCTGCATAAGACGTCTTTACAGTATTAAAGAGCAAAGGCATCACTTTGAGGACTCAGGGGTGCCTGGTTCAAATGATGGCGGCTTCAGTGAATAAGGACAGTGAGCAAGGAAGCCTGCGGAAGGAGGGTGCATTTGAAGCAGGGTGCTGGTGAAGAACATGCAAAGTACCACAGGCTGCCGGAGCACACACATGTCTTCCTCGGAGAAAGTACAACCCGGTGCTCCTTCGCAGCGGGGTGATGCGCCCTCATTGCATTCTCCGGGGATGGGGGGCAATTTAGGGCTAGTCTAGCCTTGCTACTAAGACATGATCCTTCTAGGGGCGAGGTGGGCTATTCAGAGTTCAAGCACCTCTTACCCTTGCACGAGTCTGGGAATGATCCACCTGATGGCTGGAATGACACTGTTGATTTCCAGTGCCTGAAAACCACTTTGTATTTTTGCCCCATTTTCTAGGAAGGAGAGTCTAGTACTTCGTGGTAGTCAGAATGGAAGTCTCCTGACACCCTGTATTTCAAGCTTCTCTCCTCTGTACTGCAGACTTCCGGTGAAGGCTACCATCGTTCTCATTCATGTCACAAGACAACCTGGGCCTCCGTGTCTGCGGCTGGGGAAGTGAGCCCAGTGGGTGGGATCTTGTCCCTTCTCCATCGCCCTGCCTCTCTGGTCCCTGCTTGCTCGTGGCTCCCTGCCCACTGCGTCATCTCTCACATCCCTTCTCAGGCCTGCCTCCTCGTGGCCAGTGAGGCCAGCGCTGACCCCTTTTGCCAGTGACCTTGACCATCCCACTTCTTTCATAGCGAGGCTCGCCACTCCTCCTCTTCTGAACTGGCTGGCTTTCTTGTGGGTTATCTGCCTTCTCCATGGGGTTGTCAGCTCCACAGAGCAGCAGCTTGGGTCACGGCTATCAAGTATAGTGCCCTGTCACACAGGGGGCACCCAGCAAATACGGTGGGATAATTTAATGATTGAGTATTTCTTTGCAGTATCTTTTCAGAAGGGCATGCCGACGTCAAGTTTGGCTCCACAATGCTCAGAGTCCCTTAGGGAATGTGAACTACATGCCATGGGGGTGTGGCTGAGTGACTGAGGGCAGCGCCAGGTCTGGAGCCCTACTGCCTGAGCGCGGTCCAGGCACTACGCCATCTAGTGGATGCTCAACCCCTCAATGACTCAGTTTCTTGATCTGTAAAGTGGGGTCAGTAACAGGGCCCCAGGTAAGCGTCGCAGGGAGGACCAGTGGGGCCATTTTATGGAAAGCACTTGGCACGAGCCTGGCACCCAGTTAGTGGCCCCGGAGGGTAGCCCTTGTTAGAACTTGTCCACGGACAGTGCACGGGAAGCCCCTCACTGGGACCTCCCACGTACGCCAGCCACGATCACAGTGTAACCTTTCAAATGGACATTTTCATTCTTGCCCAGTGTGGAGCTCCCGGGTCTAGAAGCAGGGCTGGGTTTGTAGGCTGCCGTGGGGGTGTTGGGGAGCAAGTAGAGCTGTGGGCTGTACAGGCTTGGCCTTTCCCAACCCAGGAGTCAGAGGCGGACAGACTTGGGATGGGCGACACTCACTTGCTGTCCTGTGAGCAGGTGGGGATGGACCATTGACAGCTGGGCTCAGAGGCTGCTCCCTTGTGCTGGGGTTCAGGTGGGCAGAGGGAGATGCTGCTCAAGGTGCCATCAGTGGTCACCAGGGAACAGCGAGGGAGGGGCTGCCCTGGGAAGGAGGGGCTTGTCCATGGCTTCCCTGGAGAGTCCCATAGAGACTCTCTCCCTTAGAGGGAGCATGCTGGGGCCTCTCCTGGAATGCTGGCCCTGCCAAGCAGGCAGTGTTGCTGACATGGACAGGGCGGGCTGAATGAGCACTCACCCTGTAGGCCAGCAGCCCCTAGGAGCTGGTGCCCAGGTGTTTGCCCCACTTCCCTGCCAATGCCCCTCCTCGTTGCTAGTGCCGCACCATTCTCCAGGGCTTTGCCCCTTTCTCTATGCCGCAGGAGAGGGAGTATGCACACAGTCTGCCCGCTCCTTATGCTCCATCAGACCTGCTGGACCTTGATTTTCCTGGTACCGTGATCAGCCCACCTTGCTGGATCAAAGTCTCCTGCTCTTTGTGGTCAGCCTGCCCTGCTGGCCCAGAGACTTTCTGTTCCTGGGGTCAGTCTGCCCTGATGGACCCACCCCCACCTCGACTACAGCTGTGACTCAGGGCCTGACAGCATGCAGCCCCTCCCTGACACCCAGGATGGCCATCCCTGTAGCACACCCTCCCTGAGCCCTCGCAGGTGAGCATGCGAATCGTAGGAGCCAGGCCGAAACAATTCCAGGAAGATGAAGGAAACATTCGACTAGAACAAGATACTTCTTGAGAAGCCGTCCCTGCCGCCACACTCAGGATGCTGGGCCCTCCTACCAGGAGGGCCAGGGTTCTTGGGAAACAGCATGCCAGCTGGGACAGGAAGTCGGGTTCTGTATGGTCAGATGTGTCCAGTGAATTCTGCCCGCTACATCAGCAGCCAGGACAGGTATTGCGGGCAAAGGCCCCAGGGGCCCTGGGCTGCTGTCCTGGCACCAACGCTCTGATCCTAAGGTGCTCTCATGGTCACGTGTGACCAGGTGGGTGGCACCAGAGCCACCACCTGGTTCTCTGGGTGCTGCGGGCTCCGTGTGAACCAGCAAGCACTCCCAGCTGCCAGCAGTGGCGGGAAACGTCCCTACAGCTTCACAGCACCCTCTTCCGAGCGCTTGGCCTGGTTCCTTCCATGGAGGGCGGCTGGGCTCCAGGCAGGGGCTTGTCTGGGGTGTATGGGCCCTGTATGCTCTCCCCGGAGGGCTGGAGAGCAGTAGGCTCCGTGCTCTGGCTGTGCGGGCCATGCTGGAAGTATGTTGCCTATCCCTGCCATTTCTACTTCTTGTCCTTTAAAAATACATGTATATGTTTTAAAATTAACAAGTACCTCCAGCAAACATACGTATGTGAGCACCAGGTGTCTGTCGTTAACAGGAATCTGTATTTACGTCCATATTTCATTCTGGGTGCAAATGTGGCAGCTGCAGTGAGGGAGCCCCCACCCTGCCACGAGGCCCCTGGGTCCTGAAGGGCGGGAGTGGTTGAGTCAGATTCCAGTGTGGTTTGCTCACATCGCCCCCACACTCAAATTCACTGCCATCAAGTCGAATCTGACTCAGCGACTCAGTAGCTCCCATCGCCTCCTCTGCATGCTGCACGTTCCATAAGGAAGACCAAGGAGGAGCGGATGCATTTGAATTGCGGTGCTGGTGAAGAGCAGCAAAAGGGCAAGGGGCTCCCCAAAGGCCGAGTGGCTCTGTCTTGGAAGAAGCACAGCCTTCATGCTCTTTAGAAGTGAGGAGGCTGGCGCTTCCTCTCATGCACTTTGGACACGTTGTCAGGACAGGCCAGTCCCTGGACAAGGACATCATGCGTGGTCAAGTGGAGGGGTGAGGAGCTGCATTCACAGAGTGGGGGCAACAGTGGCTCCATCAAAACAACCCCCAATGGGTGGTGTTTCGTTGTGTTATGCACGGGTTCACTGTGGATTGGAACCAACTCAAAGGCATGAGACAGCCCTGTGGATGTACTGCTTTAGCCCTTTCTAAAGCACCTGTGGTCAAACTTTATTTGCATGTGGTATTAGTGATATTTGTTCTGATCTTAACCCTAGCTTTCACCTTTCTTTGGAATGGGCACACATTTGGATTCTCCTCCGGTTGGCTGGTCGAGTAGCTGTCTTCCAAAGTACTTGGTACAGACTAGTGAGTGCTTCCAGGACTGCGTCAGTTTTGGGGAACATTTTGATTGGCACTCCACAGGTCCTTGCTTTTGCTAATGCTCTCAAGGCAGTTTGGACTTCTTCCTTCAGTGTGATTGGCTCTTGACCCTATGCTACCTTACTGAAGTGGTTGAATGTCAACCAGTTATTTTGGGTCCAGTGATCTGTGTATTCCTGTCAAGCTTCTTGCATGGTTCAGTATTTTGCCCCCAACTTCCATATTGCAACTGAGAGCTCAATCTCCCCCCAC